GGCCCCGCCCCCTTCCCGCCGTCCAATCAGAGAACGCGCGGAGCCGGGGCGCTGCCCAATGGCGCAGCTCTTCCGGGTTCCGCCAACGCTATTGGGGCCGAGAGAAATGATCCCGGAGTTTGTTTACCGTCACCCCCTCCGCTCCGGGAGTGACATCACGCCGCCGCGTATTGCCACGCGTGACGTCACGCCACCCCAGCAGAGCGCGGGTGGGTTCTAACCGCCGGGGAATGCTCTGCGCAGGGGCCCGCCATGGCGGGGGCTGAGGGGAGGGGAATGTGTGGGTCCCCAGCCTGAGGGCAAGGCCGGTTCCTGGTATTCCTGAGGGAAAAAGGGGTGGTTTTCCTGAGGGAAAAGGAAATTTCCCATTTTCTGGAGGGAAAAGGAAATTACGGGTTTTTTTTGAGGGAGGTTTTCCAGAGGGAAATGGGAATTTCTGGTTTTACTGCGGGAGAGGTCATTTTCTGAATTTCCTAAGGGAAAAGGGATTTTCTGGTTTTCCTGAAGGAGAGGCTGGTTTCTGGGTTTCCTGAGGGGAAAAGGAAATTTCAGGTTTTCCAGAGGAAAAAAGCAATTTCAAGTTTTCCTGAAGGAAAGGGAAATGCCTGGATTTCCTGCAGGAGCAACTGGTTTCTGGTTTTCCTAAGAGGAACAGGAAATTTCTGGTCTTCCTAAGGGAAAAGAGAATTTTTGGTTTTCCTGAGGGAGAGACCAGTTCCTGGTTTTCCAGATGGAAAAGGAAAATTCTATTTTTTTCCTGAGGGAGCGGCAAGTTTCTGGTTTTCCTGAAGGGAAAGGAAATTTCTGTTTTTCCTGAAGGAGGGGCCAGTTTCTGACAATTCCCAAGCGGAAAAGGAAATTACTGGTTTTCTGGAGGAAGAGGAAGGTTCCTGGTTTTCCTGAGTGAGAAGGAATTGTCCCTCTTTCCTGAGGGAAGAGAGAATTTCTGCTTTTCCCAAGGAGGAGGCAGGTTTCTGGTTTTCCTGGGGGAAAGGGAATTTCTGGATTTATTGAGGGAGAACCTGGTTTCTGTTTTTCCTGAGGAAAAGGGAATTTCTGTTTTTCTGGAGGGAGAGTTGGGTTTCTGGTTTTCCTAACGGAAAAGCAAATTTGTGTTTTTCCTGAGGGAGAGGCCCCTTCCTGGTTTTCCTAAGGGAAAAGACCTTCCTTTTCCCTCAGAAATTTCAGGTTTTCCAGAGGGAAAAGAGCTTTCCTCTTTTTTCTGAGGGAAAAGGAAATTTCTGGTTTTCCTAAGTGATAAGGGAGTTTCTGGTTTTCTTAAGGGATGGGCTGGTTTCTGGTTTTCCTGAGGGAGAAGGAAATTTCTGGTTTTCTGGAGGGAGCGTCTGGTTCCTGGATTTCCCAAGGGAAAAGGAAATTTCTTGTTTTCCTGAGGGGAAAGGGGATTTCTGTTTTTCCTAAGGGAGAGGTTGGATCCTGGTTTTCCTAAGGGAAAGGAAATGTCTTGTTTTCTGGAGGGAGAGACCAGTTCGTAGTTTTCCCAAGGGAAAAGGAAGTTTCTGGTTTTCCTGAGGGAGAGGCTGGCTCCTGGTTTTCCTGAGGGGAAAGGAAATTTCTGGTTTTACTGAGGTTCCTGGATTTCCTAAGGGGAGAGGAAATTTCTGGTTTTCCTGCAGGGGAGGCCAGGTTCTGCTTTTCTGGAGGGAAAAGGAAATTTCTAGTTATCCTGAGGGAGAAGGAAATCTCTGTTTTTTCTGGAGGGAGAGCTGGGTTCTGTTTTTCCTGAGGGAAAAGGTAATTTCCGTTCTTCCCGACCCAGGGAGCAGCCATTGTATTCACGCAGTTTGAAACCATAATCCTGACTTTTTTTCCTCTTTCTTCCAGATCTCTGGCCATGGCAGAAGGGGAGAGGCCGAGGCCGCTCCTCCGACTGGTGCAGGAGGGACGGCTGGACCTCCTCCGGGACGAGCTGCGGCCGGACGAGGCGCTGGGCCCGGTGGTGCGGAACCAACGTTACGGGCGCTCGGGGGACACACTGCTGCACCACGCTGCCCGGTACGGGCACCGGGATGTCCTCGCCTACCTGGTAGAGGTGCTGGGTATGGACGTTGAGGTGTTCAATAGCGACTACAAAAGACCCCTCCATGAAGCGGCCTCCATGGGCCAAGGGGAGTGTGTCTCCTACCTCCTGGAGAGAGGTGCGAGCGTAGACTGCTTGAAAAAGGCAGACTGGTAGGTCACTGGCTTGCTTTCATAGAATCATAGAATTGTTTAGGTTGGAAAAGACCTTTAAGATCATCCAGTCCAACCATTACCCTAACACTACCAAGTCCACCACTAAACCAGTTAAGGGGAGAGTCATAATTAATTTCGTGTTTCCTGGCTTGGTGGCTGGATGGTTTTTTAATGAAAGTAAAAACTAGGAATCATTAAGGTTGGAAAGGATCTCTAAGATCATCAGTCCAACCGTCAACCCAACAACACCATGCCCACTAAACCATGTCCCAAAGAGCGACATCTACCCGTTTTTTGAACCCCTCCAGGGAATGTGACTCCACCACCTCTTTGGGCAGCCTGTTCCAATGCTTGACAACTCTTTCCGTGTGAAGAAACTTTTCCTAATATCCAATCTAAACCTCCCCTGGTGCAGCTTGAGCCCATTTCCTCTTGTCCTATCTCTAACTACTTGGGAGAAGAGACCAACCCCCACCTCACTACACCCTCCTGTCAGGTAGTTGTAGAGAGCGATCAGGTCTCCCCTCAGCCTTCTCTTCTCCAGACTAAACACCCCCAAATCTCTCAAGCCTGTCCTCATAGTAGAGGGGCTCCAGCCCTCGGATCATTTTTGCGGCCTCCTCTGGACCTGCTCCAACAGCTCCATGTCCTTGTGCTGAGGACCCCAGAGCTGGATGCAGGGCTGCAGGTGGGGTCTCACCAGAGCAGAGTAGAGGAGCAGAATCCCTTCTCTTGAGCTCCTGGCCACGCTTCTTGTTACGCAGCCCGGGATACGGTTAGCTTTCTGGGCTAAATTCCAGCCCTATCACTGATTTTCCCCTGTTTATCGTAGAAGTTGTAAATTGCTGCTTCCTAAGCAGATCCAATTTAAAAGCTTTCATCTGCAGCTATTCGTTCTTCCCCATTCCCCTGTTTGATGAGAATCAGTGATACCGATTCACATTTTTGTGTCCTGGTCCTCAGAAACTGAAATAAGAAGATAAAAAGTGAGTTTTACTCCTGTTTACCCCCAGCAAACAAAGCATCTCAGGTCAGATTTGGTACTGATACAATAGCAACAGCCTCAGCAACCCAAGAAACAACTGATTTCTTCAGGGCTTTTGTTTCCTGCCACATGGGTAACACGTAAGCAAATGATGAGGGAATGAGAATTGGGAATAAAAAATAAAGCCTAATCCACAGACAAGCAGCAGGCTTGATTAACGTCAACTTCTCCTTTTGGGGAGGGAGCTTTCTTGCAAAAGAAAGCAAAGATTCACCCCAGCTCCCAAGTTAAGGCCCTGGGAGGTTGTTTTGAAGCTGAACTAACACAAATACAAAGGCAGCATCCCAGTCCTCGTAATTCGAGGCTGTGCCAGCATCGTGCTGATATCAGGGGGAGCAGAGGGAGACAGAGATCTCATGAGCTGCGTGCAGACGTGCGTAAGAGCCTGGTTTTCTTTGATAGGCCTGCAGTATCCTTCCATCCACGGGTTAAAACCGGGGAGCTACATTCTTGCTAGCGCATCTCCCAGCCTTTGGACAAAGTCTCGTTTGCAGCGAACATATACGCTGATCTGAGGCACTGTATAGAAACGGAGCTGCAGGAAACATGGAGCTCCAGGCTCAGCGCTACCCCATCGTCCCCAACAGACGCGTGTCTAATCTCTTCTTAAAAATCTCCATCGCTGGAAATTTTATCTCCCTTCTCAGTGCTCTCTTCCTGTCCCTATCTGTCCTCACAACTGGAACATTTGTTCTAATATCTAAGCCAAATCTCTCTCCCTGCTGTTTAGGACAAGGAATCATAGAATCATAGAATCGTTTAGGTTGGAAAAGCCCTTTAAGATCATCCAGTCCAACCATTAACCTACACTACCAAGTCTACTCTAATCCAATCAAGGCTAAACTAGACTAAACCATGTCCCAAAGTGCCACCTCTGCCCGTTTTTTGAACACTTCCAGGGATGGTGACTCCACCACCTCTCTGGGCAGCCTGTTCCAATGCTTGACTACCCTTTCCGTAAAGAAATTTTTCCTAATTTCCAACCTAAACCTCCCCTGGCGCAGCTTGAGCCCATTACCTCTCGTCCTATCGCTAACTACTTGGGAGAAGAGACCAACACCCACCTCACTACACCCTCCTTTCAGGTAGTTGTAGAGAGCGATCAGGTCTCCCCTCAGCCTCCTCTTCTCCAGGCTGAACAACCCCAGTTCCCTCAGCCACTCCTCATAAGGCCTGTGCTCCAGACCCTTCCCCAACTCCGTTGCCCTTCTCTGGACACGCTCCAGCACCTCAATGTCTTTCTTGGAGTGAGGGGCCCAAAACTGGACACAGTATTCCCAGCCTTATCCTTATTCCTTGTGTAGCAGGAAGTTTTTGTGCTGCAGCTTTTCCTGAATGAGGAATGGGTTGGTTTTTTGGGGTTTTTTTTTCGGTCTCCCAGCTGATGTGTGTGGGTTGGTGAAGAGGTAAGTCCCCTCCATGCTGAAGAAGTGTTCATCTTTTCTGGGAAAGCTCAGAGGTTTCTGTCCGATCTGTGCGTACACCCAACGTTCAATGGTTGGGTGAAGTTTATAAACATATGAAATGGAGAATGCAGCTCCCACTTGCTGCGGTTAAACTATTACTGTTATATAATGTGGTAATTAAGGAAAACAGGGGTTGGTGCTGGTGAGGGCAGTGAAATCAGTCACTTAAGTAAAGCCAAACACAACACAGGAGGTGTCTGTGGGTTCACCGCCTCAAGTTACCCGCTCTTTGCCTTGCGAATAAACCCTCAGCGAATGCCCACCTCCTGATGGCTCTCAGCTCGTTTGTCCAAAGGAGGCTGCAGATCCAGCAACCGCACCGGTCCTCAGTGGGGAAGGATGGGCGAGGAGATAACAGGTCACCAAGGAGGAGAAACTCGGTGGTGAACCTGCCCTGCTGCCAAGCAGGAGCTGGGGTGGTTGTTAATCTGCAGTGTGTGGGTTAGAGGTGTGAAAACGTGGTCGTTGCTGGACACGGGGTTGAAAGCAGGGTGAGATGAGCTGTTTGCTGTGTTTATGTGTCAGATGTATCCACTGGCTTTCCAGGAGCACGCGCACAATCCGTGCAAGGCACAGCTTAGAAATTGTGGGATGGAGAAGGTGCTGTTCCCCTGGGGAGCTTGTAAAAATGTTTTTAAATATCAAAGGTTGTTCCCAGACATGTGAAACAGGACAAAAGTGTGAAAAGCTTCATTCTCAGGCCAGCTGCTCTGCATCAGAAATGCTCCAGAGTGGCATTTGCTGGTACACTCGTGCTCTACTGCCAGGAGACGCGGAGTTGTCTGTGTTTTGCTGCCTGCAGCCACAGCTGCCTGTCTGGGTGACTGGCTGGGTTAAAGTTTTTGGCGCCCTGCAGCCACAGCTGCCTGTCTGGGTGACTGGCTGGTTTAAGAAACACTGGTGTTAACAGCTCTGTCTCAGCAGTCCCCAAAAGTCCAGACCCCATATTACCTGCATGAAAAAACAGTGCTGTAAAATCTCATAGGCCCATATGCAGCGTCTGGTGAGCCTCAATCAAAGCATCCGAATGCAGGTGAGATGATAAATATAGCCTTGGGCTTGGAGAAGGTCTTTGCCTTGGAGAAGGTCTTTGCCTTTAGCCAGCAAAGTTTCCTGCTACCTCAGAGTGGTTTTAGCACATCAATTTTCCCTCTGGCCAGCTTACCACAGCTGGCACTGAGCTACTATGTTTTATTAGACAGCGTAGTTGGTGCAACAGACAACTTTAAATCATGCTTCAAGCTCAGCTGTTAGAACAAAAGCCGTCAGGCTCGTACAACACCGTCTCTCTGGTTGTTATGTTTGCCTCCTCTTTCTTTCAGGACTCCCCTAATGATGGCATGCACCAGGCAAAACCTGGAGGTGATCAAAGCTCTCGTGGAGCATGGAGCCAACCCGCTGCTGAAGAACAAGGATGGCTGGAATTGCTTCCACATCGCGAGCCGGGAGGGCCATCCCCAGGTCCTGCGGTACCTGCTGGACATGTCCCCGGGCAGCTGGGACACGGAGAGCACGATAAAGAGAACGCCTCTGCACACAGCAGGTAAAAGAGGGTTCCCGTTGCCACCAGATGGGTTGGAAAAGAAGAGCAGGCTGTGGCGGCAGCAGAGAACAGAAAAGGGCTGTTGTTTCAGTTCACGTTTAGTTTGGAGAAGCAAACCTATCTTGATACAAAACCACAGGGAAACAGTTAAATGTTAAATTATTGAAATTAAATGGAAGGAGCCTAGTGGTGGGCACTAGTGGGAGCTCACCTCTCTGAACTTCTGTCTGCTAACAGTGCTCTGCTACATCTTTGCAGACTTTCACCTCAGGACAGACACTCATTTTAGTTGCTTTCAGATAAATAAACAGCAAGAATTGGGCTTAATATTTCTTCATGATGTACCAAAGACTGAGCTTGTGATGTTGGAGGGTCCTCAGTTCCTATTGCACCCAATTTTGCCTCTGCTCAAAGCATGTTTTTGTGGTGAATAACAGTTATGTTCTCTTGGGAGTGGTGGATCTGTGCCAGGAGCACTCGCAATCACCCGCTGACTTTGGCCTCCTTGGGCCAGGGTGTTGGTCTCCATCTCTGCCTCCCTGTGACAGATATGTCCAAGCTCCCGTGGCTCAGAACACATTGCGATACATTTTTCCTTGCTGGAGTATAAAGCTGCGAATTGTACTTGGAAAATCTACAAGGCTCTGAGCATATCCTGGCATTTTAAAAGCCCTAAAACCGGCAGAGGTGCTGAGAGGCACCTTTTGGGATCTGCCTGTTGATGGACATTTTTTACCAATTTGGTTTATAGTCTCATTGTCAGTTTTTGTAAGAGGCCTGTCTCTCAAAATGCTCCATTTTTGTCCGAGTGCTTGGTGGGTTAGGTCATTATGGCAAATCTGCAGAGCCGTAGTGTCTCTAGGCATAACCTCCAGAAGAAACATCACAGCTTTTGCGATTCTCACATTGCTCTTAAGAAGGTAGCATTGGGTGGTGAGAAATCCAGAATGCCTTTCCGCAAAGGAAAAGGATAGTCTCTGCTGAGAATACACAGGGACTGTTGTTAGGGTTGGAGCCCACCATGTCCGATTCCCCTGCCCTGCCCTTTTCATTGGTTTAAAAGGACATATAAAGGGTGCAAACTGGTTTTGAGGAACCACAGACATCATCTGTAGGCATGGTGGGGAGCAGAAGGACACAGCTCAACGGTGACCCAGAGGCAGTTTGGATTTGGTTTCTGGCTTTCTGACTCTTTCATCCTTAAGATGGGGGAGTGATTCATTTTAATTTATGACTGATGCACAAGGTGTGCCTCGGTTAAGTCCTCTGAGCCTTAATAAGTTGAATGGCCCAAAAATATGTTAATGCAGAACTAAATTCGTCCCACCGTGTCTCACTGCCCCTTACAGAGTATCAGGTCTGGTTACCCACAGACCTGTGCAAGTTAGGCAGTGCAGATAAAGCATGGGTCTTCGCAGAGCTTAAATCCCCTTAACTCTGCCCTCCAGAGATGCAGTGGGAGTGGACGATGAAGGGAGCGAGTGAATGAAGGGAGAGGTGTGTGACACCGAGTCCAGGTGATGTTGTGGGGCAAGCTCAGGTCTGGAGGGTGGTAGCTGACCTGAATCCGAAACGTGCCCCATCCCTGAGCGGGGATTAGGCTGTGTGTCCCAGGGCTCGGCAGTTTCTCCGCAGGAGAGATGAACGTGGGGAGCCTCTGCACAAAGCTGTGGCTACCTAAACTCATTTCCCAAAGAATTTAATAGGGATCGACTCTCTGGAAAGACCCGAGGTATCGTGAGGAGACCCCTGCTGTGCTGTAATTAATCTGTTGGGTATCTTGTCCCTTAGCTGTCATTCCTGTTACTTCTCCGGCCCTCAGTAGCTGCCTGTCCACCGCACCATGCTCATCAGCAGTGACAGTCCCAGCCCAGAGGCATCGGCTGCACCTTAGTCCTTGTGCTTGACCTGGGAATTAAAAATAGCTGATGAGTTGTTTGATGTTTCAGGCTGGGCGGCGAGGAACAGGTTGCCTGAATGAGAAGTGGCTAATCCTCATTTGTTCGTGCGTTCTCCTGTCCCTGCTCGATCCCAGGTCTTGTGTTTCTGTGGCCGGGCTGGCAGGCTGGGCTCGCAGCCCCCTCTCAGCCGTTTCCCCGCAGAGAGGTGGACGTTGGGTTGGGATCTGGAGGTTGAGGATCTGGGGACTGGGTCAGGAGCAGGGTGAGGACTGTCCTGAGGAAAAGGGGTGCTTTTAACCTTGAGCTTAAAGTCTCCTCCTTGCCTTGTAGCGCTTGGGATATGGGGGTACAGACAGCAGCGGTGGGATCCAGCGCCCGGTTCTCGCTGCCTCATAGAGGTGTCTCCACCTCTGTATCACCTCCTATGTTTGACTTTCATTTTGGCAAAGCCATCAACCTGTGATTTGGGTTGATTTCTGGTCATTTTACTGATCCAGATTAAACCCTGGACCCCATGTTAGTGGAGCAGTAGCCAGTACAGTAGCGACTGGGCAGCGGGAAGGGCTGGAGCTGCTTAACCCACCTTTGCCCCCAGCATAATTTTAACCCAGGACGATGCTGGGGGCTGCTGCTGGGTGGGTGCTGGTGCCAGCATCCCCATGCACACCACCACGTAGCCCACTTACACAGACGCAGCTCCTGAGCACGGCGAGGGGCTGGAGATGATGCTGGAGCTGCCGGGGGAAATCATGTCAAGACGAACTGCTGTCTCAATGTGTTTACATCCCAAGGGTGTGGATATGAGCGCATTAACCCGTGACCAGTCCAGCTGGCTTCCTGGCACTGTTATCCCTGGATAGATGATGGGTAATTTTCTCCCCTGGGCAATTTTTTGGGGCGGTTGATTCCTCAAGCTTTGCTGCTTCATATATCCGTAGCCTGAGGCAAGAGAGCGGGGGAGATGTAATTAGAGGAAGTGGAGTGCAACAGTGGATCTGAGCGCTGCAGCTTTCTTGTGTCTCTGTTGCTGTTGGAGGATGTAATCGTGTTGCTTGCGGTGTTTTTTTTCTTCACATAGCTTGTTTGGTTTTTTTCTTTTTTTTAAAGCCTCCATTTCGAAAATCCTTTTCACAGTGTGGCTCTGCCTGTATTTACGTCAGCTTAGGTGAAGGGGTGATAAATGGGCAGGGAGCAGGAGCAAACGGCCAAGATCTGGGAGGATGGGAACCCCTCCTTGGGCTCTCAAAGAGTATCTATTGTGCAGCTGCATCTGAAGGTTATTGCTGGTAACACACATTTGCCAGGGGCCCTTCTTCCATCGCACAGAGTAAATAGCCTGATGTAGCAGCTCCGGGCTTGGTTTGATTTTTTTTTTTTTCTTTAATGTATTTCATTTGTTTTGCAAAATGACCTGCAGTAAAAAAGCCAGATCGAGGCTGTCCTTACATTACTGTAACATGATGTGTTTTTTAAAAAAAAAGAGACTGTTTCAGTACGTGATGTTTAAATCCTCCCCCACTGTTTTTGTTTTTCCTCTGAGATGCTGTCTGGGTGAGGATGCTTCATTAGGATGATGAGATGGGAGTGATGGGTAGTCTGTGTGGCTGAGGAGGGGTGGAAATGCCATCCAGCTATTCACCAGCTCCCTGCTTTGTGTTCATTTTGCTTCTCGGAGATTTCACTTCAGGGATTAACAAACACTTGCAAGAAAAGATCTTTGTGTCAGCTTAATTACATGTACGGTCTCGTGCGCGCGCTCTGCAGGTAGACGCAAATGGTGCCTATATGCGTGCCTTTTCCCTGTTTTATCTGGTGTTTCCCTATAGGATCAAGGGAAGGGAAGGCTTGAGATGTGGAGCCGATGTTTTAATTACAAAAAAAAGTATCAAAAGCTTTCAATTTAAAATCTCTTGGAACCCCTTCCCACATCATGAGTAAGCCAAAGGGGTCAGAAACCTGATTATGTTTCACCGTAGGCGGACAGTGGCATGAAAACATAAATTAACCCTGCGCTTCTCTCTCTCCCTCGCAGCAATGCATGGCTGTTTTGACGTTGTGGAGCTGCTCCTGGAGCGGTAAGCAGGCTTCCTCCCAGCACTGCTTCTGCCTTCCAGCTCTCCCCCGCCTCCCGTCCACCGCCAGGCTCGCTGCAGCCGCCCGGACACAAAGGGCGTTTATGCCATTCGGGAAGCCCAGTTGCACAGCTGCCCTGCATGTGATCCCGAGGCTGTTGCTGTTTCCTCCGGGTTTTTCACAGCCGGTTAGGGACCTTTGAGACAAGGATGCTCTCTGGATGGGCTCCGATGGGCTCTGATTGACATAAACCCCGGTTATGTAACCCTGCTCTTTTTCTGTGCTGATTCATTCCCATTGCGTCCGATGTGTCCGAGGCCATACGATAACAACAGAGCAGTTTTCTGGCAGCTCGGTTCTGGATGCAGCTCCTTCAGGCTGGACTCACCCTCCAGGCTTTATTTTCCAGCTCCAGCTCCTGGGAGACTGCTGTGAAGTGGCTTTAAATCAGCCCGTGCCCAGTCATCTTGACCCTGTTACCTTCCTAACCAGCACTGCCTGCTGCCAGAGCTGGAGCAGCTTTCCCCAGGCATCGCAGCCGCTGCTAGCCACAGCTCCTGTTAGCTGACTCGTCCCAGTCTTGTTAATTCATGTCCACGCTTGGCCCAGCATAAACATAGTCCTGTGATTTGAGCCAGGCTTTCAATTTTAATTCAGTCTTTGAATCATAGAATCGTTTAGGTTGGAAAAGACCTTTAAGATCATCCAGTCCAACCATCTTCTCTCATTTCAATGGAGCTTTAACCTGAGCGAGACCTGTGGGCTTTGATTTTGTGTGTGGTGGGGTTACGTGAGGATATGGTTTTCCCCTCTGCCAGCGCACACCTTACCCCTTCTAGAGATCCTCTGTTTGGGGGACAAGGGAAATATAAATGATCTGTAGAGCCTTGGCTTTCCTGCAGCCCAAGCAAGCTGCGCTGGCTGAGTACCAGATCTCTGACCCAAAAAACCCCAGCAGACCGTACCCCAGGCCATAAAGCACCAAGGCAGATTTATGCGTGGTGTACAAGTAGGCTTTATATCTGCCGTTTCCAGTCCCATCCACTGATAGTCTCCTGCCCCACCGATGCAAAGCAACTGGTGCAGTGAGGATTTTAGAGACGCCAACAACTCTGTCCTGGCTTTTTGTCTTCTCTCCCAGGTGCCAGTACAAACCTGACAGCAGAGACAAATGTGGAGTCACTCCCTTTATGGATGCTATCCAGAACGGCCATGTTAACATTGCTCGGCTGCTTCTGGAAAAACACCAGGTAGGTGCCAGAAACCTCACCTCCTTCCTCCAGGATCTGACCTAGAACTACCAGGACAGACAATCCACATGTTCACTATAACCATATTGTAAAAAAGCAAATTCCCAAATTGTAAAGAAGGGAATTGCGAAAGAAGGCAAATTCCCTCTGGAGATGAGCAAGATTTTGCCAAGTGAGGCCACCAGGACTCAGCTCACGGTGAAGATCTCACCCTGGGGCAGGGATATGTCCCCATAGCTGGTGAGGGGGGGATGGAGACGCAAGGCAGTGGCAGGAGGGACGGGACTTGCCCAGCACTGCAGGGGCAGCTGTGTCAAAGGCAAGACCGGCACTCGGGCATGCCAGGGCTCAGCGTGGAGGCTCTTGTGGCAGCGTCGAGGGTGGATAACACGGAGGCATCTGGCTGTGCCGACAGCAGCTCATCTCTGGCCTCCCTCTCCTGTGCCAGCTGCTGCTCCCGTGTTGTCTCCCAGTAATCTCCGATTTCCTCCAACGTACAAAGCGTAACAGAGATGTCATTAGAGCCAATTGTGCATCGTAGGAACCCGACCACTGCATTATTTATTGATCACTGAACCGATGCAAGATGGTTGGAGCCCACCTAATGGCCGATTCTCACGGAGGTGGGGTTGCGCCTCCCTTCTCACCTACTTTGCCCTCGCTTTGCCTCTCCCCTGCACCAGCTCTGGTGTTCATTGGACACCGTGCCAAACTGGTGCGGCTCACTGGCCTGGCAGAAAGCTAGCACGGGAAAACCAGTGAGTCTGTTTGTGCCACGCTGGCAGGTTGAATTGGCCAGCTGAGCCCCCAGTGTGGCATGGAGTGGGCCAGGGAAGGTGGTACCACGCTTCTCAAAATCACAGGCTTTGGACTTAATTCAGCCATAACACGTAGCCTCACCCAGCAGAGACGGTTTGATGCCCAGGTTGTGTTTGAGTGCGTAGATACTTGTTGACTTCAGGAGATGTTCGTGTGCTTGTCTTTGTTCATCTGGCCCTTACAGGATAAAACATTTGTGAAATTTGCTTATGTTTTTAGTCTCACATTTCAGGCAATGAAGATGCAATAGCTGATTTAATTTCCTCGTTGTGGTGCCCTGGCTTACTGCCATGAAGCAGCACTGGAAACGCTAATGGCAGTGTTGCTACCTTCTAGGTTTTATAAAACCGTGAGCCAGGCCCACTAAACGTCAAGAGGCTGGATTATATCCTTTAAGATGAGTGCACTGTGTATTACTTCCATTACCCTTCTTGATTTTACGTCTTTGCGGTTCACGTTCAGAGACTTATGGAAGAGATCTCATGAGGTCACCACCGGTCTCCTTCCCTCTACCTGTGTCCAAGTTCTTCTCCACCAGCACAAAGGTTGGACGTGGGTTGTTTCTTGCTGCTTTAAAGAGTTGAAACCCAACATATATGTTCCAACTGAAGAGAGAGGGGGCTCGGTTCTTCTTTTTTGGCACTAGTTTTACTTACCGCTTAACAAGCTCAGCAGAGAGCTGGCTCCGGTCTGCAAAACATGGTGCTACCAACTGTGCCGGTCCTGCTGGTGACGTCCCACGTGCTCATTGCCATCACCATGGCCGGTGGCAGGCAGACGTGATTCTGCTTGGGCTGGTGATTGTCTTTGAAGGTTTGGCCAGGCTGTTCACTGCTTTCCCTTTCCCTCCTCCCCCATTCCAGGCCTGTCCTACAGTCGTGGATGCACTAGGCGCTCAGCCTCTGCACCGGGCAGCCGTCACGGCCCAGGATGAAGCTATCCGATTCCTCGTCTCCGAGCTGGGTGTTGATGTCAACGAGAGAGCGACGGCCCTCCAACTCACAGCACTGCACTATGCAGCCAAGGTTTGTTCCTTTTCCCAGGCTTCCTCTACAAATTCTTTGCCAGTTGGATTGCCACAGGCAGGCATCTAAAACAGGCTGGTTTAGATGTTGGCCACTGATAGAGGATTTACATTCCTAGCTCATCCTCTGTCACTGTCTGTCTGCTCCTGACCAGTCCCATACCCTGTTTAACGGTTTTTAGACCCTCATTAAGTGTGTCCAGCTGTCTGCAGAGTGGCGGCAACATCTGAATTGTTCTGTTCACCACTCTCCTGCCTACGCCGCTGACTGCGCTGAGGCATAGCAAACCCTCCTGCCTGGCGTGTGGCTGAGCGGGATCGTGCGGGAGCAGAGGCGAGTGGTGATAGGACCCAGCTCCTTTGCCACACATCCGTTGGCCATGCTGTGGATAGGGCTTGACCCACGCCTCTGGTGAGCGTTACTCTTCCAGTCTGCTGCTTTTGGACCAAAGTGCGATACCTGAAGGGAGTCTGCCCTCCTAGCTATTGGGAGCTGTACGTACCAACAGTTCACGAGCTGTGACAGTTCTTGACCAGCGTCTTCTCACTCACTTGGCAGAGGAGATGTGGGTGAAACGCTGCTCAGATTTCTTTCTCGGTCTTTATTCAGTGGATCCTGGGCGGCCCCCAGCCAGTCTCCCTGTCAGCAGCTTGCTGGCCAGAAGATGGCTGATGTGCTGTGAAACAGCAACTGTTTGTCCCAGTAGGCCGGATTCTGGCCTGCCCATGGTCAGATGTGAGAAAGGAGAGGTGGAAAGGCAAAGGGAGCTCACAGGTGCTTATCTGTGTCCTTCGAACAGGAGTTGTTTTGAATTCCAGGCAGTGAGAGTCATTTGATTGTTCTCCTCCCATCTCATGCCTGTGCGGGAAGCGGGGCCTGGAGGGCTGTGGGTCCTGCAACGTTCCCTGGGAGCGCACAGCAGATCCCAAAAGCCTCACCGCTGACCAGGATCCCTCCTGGAACCCTGCTGCCTCCCTTCTGCTCAGTGCTGTTGCACCACAGCGTGCAGCATGCTGGCAGCAAGGGAAGGTCCCTGCTCAGATCCCTGCATGTTAAACCTCATGAGCTTTAACATGCAGCGCTCGGAGCCCGGTCTAGACTTGTAGTGGGAACGAAGCAGCGTCCCAGCGCTCCACTCCTACAAAAGCATCACTGACACTTACTGGGTGTGCTGGCAACAGTATTCTCCTCCAGCAGGACCCAGCCGTGGCATTTGCTGGCTCCCACAAAGGAGGCCTTTCTCCCAGCTTCCCTTCCTCATGCTCTGAGAAACCATGTTGAAAGCCCTTTTGGTTGCCAAGGGTACGTTTAACAGCAAGGCTATTGGGGAATATAATGTGCCTTGGAGAAGATCCCAGCTCTGTCTTGGCGAGTGGCTGATTGGGGAGTGATTTGATGGGTTTCTCTTCCTTCCCGAGGCTCAGTGTCACTTTATATTTACAGCACCATTTGTTTGGCTGGTGATTTTTTTTTTTCCTTCTTTTCTTATTACTTTGCATTTATAAATATGTGAAAATCAAATTACGCTTTCAACTCAATTTGCTGCCAAGGCTGTGGCAGCTAAAGCAGTTCCTGGCTTGCTGTCTTTGCCACTGAGAGGGGGTGTGCCTGCAGCAGGGAAATGGGAGCCTTGAGCAGGGGGAAAGATGCTACCGAGTCGTACGATAACAGGGGAAAAGAGTGGGTGGTGGGGATAAAAATAAGGGCCTTCCATTCTCATGCCGCACGACAAAGACTAATTCATCGCATCGAAGAAGTAATTACAAAATCGGGCGTGTTATTCAGGGAGAGAGGATTTATTTACGGAGAAGCTTGTGCAGAGAGGAGGGGTGTGGGGGCTGTATTGCATTTTCCTCTGCAGCGTTTAAAATTGCCTACTGGCAGAGGAAAGGTAGAGGACGCTGTGGGTCGTGACGGTGTGTAAACGTGGCGTTCTGCATCTTCTCACAGGGCATTACAAATACCGGAGTAATCCTTTAGGAAATGCCGGTGCCTGAGGGTACCGCAGGCAGGTGCACAACAGTCCACATCAGGAACAGGTTCCGCTCTCTGAGCTGAAATACACCTCAGTAAGAGCAACTCTAGATCCCTGTGGTACTTGAAGGGGATTTACAGTGTGGGAAAACACACGGCTTTTTGCTGACATTTAGTCCTTTTAACAAACAGCCAGCTGTCAATTATGAAAGGTAAGTCAGGGATCCTACGGCTCTGGCCAGCTGAAGTTAAAAGCAATTTAATTGAGTTACTTGACTGGAGGCGAGGAGAGGAAAAGGCAAGATCGGTTGACAAATTAGCGTGCTAATTTGCTATTAAGAAACATCTTTAGGTTGTGTCACCCAGCGGTAAGTCAGTGGTCGTTTGTGCATTAACTCCTCTGCAGCCACTGGTGAAGGCAAAGCCATGCTGGGAGACAGTCCCCCAAATTCCTTGTGCCTCAAGGTCCTGGCTGTGCAAGGTGGATCTGTTGACCATGATCAGGAGGATCATATGGGGATCTACAGTTGTCTAAAAGCAGATCTGCGTGCCTGGATCTGGACTGGGTTGTGTGTCTATCACGCCTGCCCTGCCGAGGCACCGCTCTCAGTCTTAGGCTGGTCCAGCACCACCAGAGACACCTCTGCGCTGTAGTGTGATTTTAATAGCTGTTGGTCTTAATTGAACACTTTTGATTTTAAAATATTGTGTTAAATATTTGCAGAGAGAATTATGCTCCTGGGATGCCTCTTGCTGCTTTTTCAGCTTCTGGGTTGAAATCGGTGCCAGGAGCACACGAGGCGTGCAGACACGCTGACCAAGGGCCAAGCTCTGGCTCCTCTCACGGGCTGCCAGTAGGAGGGCTGGAGAAGGTGCCCGGTGGCATCTCTGTGACCAATTCCTGGAGGGTAACGGCAACGTGTCTGCTGTGCCTGGGCAATCCCTGGCTAATGGACCCGATCTGCGCTGCCACAGGCAGCTGACCCTGATTTCAAGCCGCTGTAAGGTCCTCTGGAGCTTGGAGAAGCTCCTGGTAGCTCCAGATTTGACTGTGACAGAGTGGATCTGCGTCTGTACCCTTCCAGGTGCCATATGCAGTTAGGGACAGATCACTTGCGGCCTCCTTTCTTTTCAGGCCTGTGTTATTTCTGCTAAATGCAAAGGTGAGAAATTGTGCAGAGCTGGTTCTGAATAAATAATCCACATGCTTGTGCTCACCACTGCAGGAAGGACACGTGCACACCATCCAGACGCTGCTGTCCCTCGGCGCTGATGTCCACGCAAAGGATGGGAAGAGCCGTTCTGGTAAGGCTGCCGAGCTCTTTCTTCACCCTCTGTATGACAGCGAGAGCGTGCTTTAGTAACAGGAGCCCAGCCTCCAAAGCAGCCCGTGCCGTGTCTGCTCAGCGGAGTGTATGCACGTATGCAAATGGCTCTTGGAGCAGCGTGACGTGTGGGGTTTTTTTTTTTTTTTTTCAGCTTTCATTCACTGGCTCTCGTCCTGCTGGACTTTCTGATCTCTAATGGCGTGGTTGAGCCTACACCGGGGCCTTTCCCTTGGGGGAAGATCAGAGATGCTAACTGGTGTTTCTCTTTACCCAGCTGCTTATTTTGCATGAAACTTTTGGGAGCTTAGCATCTTTGATACCGCCCGCCTCACCATCAAATTTGGTTGAAATTAGCCAATTCGAAACAGTTAGGGTGGGCAGACAAATACAACGATTCCGCAAGCTCTTAAGCCTCAATTCCTTAGCAAACTGCCTAGGAATGGCTTATGAGCAAATAACAGAGAGCTTGAACATAAATATAGTTGCTATAGTAATGTCAGTGAGCTGGCATTCCCAGCGTGAGAGTGTGAGGCATCTCTTGCATCAGCATCTCTCAAAAAAAGTGGATATAAATGGTTGCAGCCATTGCCAAAATTGGCAACTTACCCAGTCTTCAGGTTTGCTTAATAACATGCTTCAGTGGTGAGCATGAACAGTCTTGTATCTCTCGATCTCTCCCTCCACCCCCTCAGTGAGTAAATTCAAACTCTGCTGAACTTGTCCAACCCTGGGACGTTTTTGGTGGCCCCTTGTGCCCATCAGCTGCCCCGTTCCCCAGCACCTTTGCTGTGTTAGTGTCACTGCATCCTGGGGAGCTTCTCACCCTGACTCCGCTCCTGCAAAGTGTCCTGCATGGATTATCCATGGGGATCAGGATGCTTCATGGTCAACATCAGCCTGCAGCAGGAGCTAACGACCCTCAGCGTAAAAGATACTCACCCCAGCGCAGGATTAGGCCAGGAGAAAGCGGCTGGCTCACCCTGCTGCACAAACCAAGTGTAACAGGAGCACCTAACTGTGCTGGAGCCACGCTGGATCAGCGTGCCGGCTGTCGGAGGGGTCTGCGGGATGAGCCAGGGCTTGGGCTTGGCTGTTTCAGCCTCTTCCTTTGGGATGCTCTTTGCTGCATGCAGCATACGGAAACCTTTCTGATTTACTCCCTGACCGTGGAGTGAGTTGGCAGGGAGCCCCAGCCCATAAAGGACCCCGGTCACATCCAGAGTAGTTTCAAACCCCTCTCTTGCACGTCAGTATGAAATCCACCCCAAACACAGAGCAGTAAGAAGCCCAGAGGCCTTCTGCTCTGCCCACTCTGTCCCACAGCCTCCCCCTCCTGCCTTGGGAACACTCTGCCCATGACTCGGTCAAAGTGAACTGAGTTGTTTTAAATACTGCCAATAAGTTTGCGAACCTGGTTAACTTTGGCTCAGCCAGGTTAGTACTGCTCGATGGATTGGAGGGACTAGTAACCCATGAGGGAAAGACGGTGTAATAGCTGGGGTAAGACTGGTTGGACTTGATGATCATCTTTAATGGTTGGACTTGATGATCTTAAAGGTCTTTTCCA